GATGGCGGCGAGGGTGACGCAGGGGGAGACGGCGATCCCGACGGCAAGGGCGCCGCTGATGGCGGCGATGGAGATGCGGGCGGCGAGGGCGTCGAGGGCGGCGCTGACGGCGGCGATGGAGATGCGGGCGGCGAGGGTGGCGCTGATGGCGGCGAGGGTGACGCAGGGGGAGACGGCGATGCCGGCGGCGAGGGTGGCGCTGACGGCGGCGATGGAGATGCGGGCGGCGAGGGCGGCGAGGGCGGCGCTGCTGGCGGCGATGGAGATGCGGGCGGCGAGGGCGGCGAGGGCGGCGCTGATGGCGGCGATGGAGATGCGGGCGGCGAGGGTGGCGAGGGCGGCGCTGATGGCGGCGATGGAGATGCGGGCGGCGAGGGCGGCGAGGGCGGCGCTGATGGCGGCGATGGAGATGCGGGCGGCGAGGGCGGCGAGGGCGGGGCTGTTGGCGGCGATGGAGATGCGGGCGGCGAGGGTGGCGAGGGCGGCGCTGATGGCGGCGATGGAGATGCGGGCGGCGAGGGCGGCGAGGGCGGCGCTGATGGCGGCGATGGAGATGCGGGCGGCGAGGGCGGCGAGGGCGGCGCTGATGGCGGCGATGGAGATGCGGGCGGCGAGGGCGGCGAGGGCGGCGCTGATGGCGGCGATGGAGATGCAGGCGGCGAGGGTGGCGCTGGTGGCGGCGAGGGTGACGCAGGGGGAGACGGCGATGCCGGCGGCGAGGGTGGCGCTGACGGCGGCGATGGAGATGCGGGCGGCGAGGGCGGCGAGGGCGGCGCTGCTGGCGGCGATGGAGATGCGGGCGGCGAGGGTGGCGAGGGCGGCGCTGATGGCGGCGATGGAGATGCGGGCGGCGAGGGCGGCGAGGGCGGCGCTGATGGCGGCGATGGAGATGCGGGCGGCGAGGGTGGCGCTGATGGCGGCGATGGAGATGCGGGCGGCGAGGGCGGCGAGGGCGGCGCTGACGGCGGCGATGGAGATGCAGGCGGCGAGGGTGGCGCTGGTGGCGGCGAGGGTGACGCAGGGGGAGACGGCGATGCCGGCGGCGAGGGTGGCACTGATGGCGGCGATGGAGATGCGGGCGGCGAGGGTGGCGAGGGCGGCGCTGATGGCGGCGATGGAGATGCGGGCGGCGAGGGTGGCGATGACGGCGCTGATGGCGGCGATGGAGATGCGGGCGGCGAGGGCGGCGCTGACGGCGGCGATGGAGATGCGGGCGGCGAGGGTGGCGAGGGCGGCGCTGATGGCGGCGATGGAGATGCGGGCGGCGAGGGCGGCGAGGGCGGCGCTGATGGCGGCGATGGAGATGCGGGCGGCGACGGTGGCGAGGGCGGCGCTGTTGGCGGCGATGGAGATGCGGGCGGCGAGGGTGGCGAGGGCGGCGCTGATGGCGGCGATGGAGATGCGGGCGGCGAGGGCGGCGAGGGCGGCGCTGATGGCGGCGATGGAGATGCGGGCGGCGAGGGTGGCGCTGATGGCGGCGAGGGTGACGCAGGGGGAGACGGCGATGCCGGCGGCGAGGGTGGCGCTGACGGCGGCGATGGAGATGCGGGCGGCGAGGGCGGCGAGGGTGGCGCTGACGGCGGCGATGGAGATGCGGGCGGCGAGGGCGGCGAGGGCGGCGCTGATGGCGGCGATGGAGATGCAGGCGGCGAGGGCGGCGCTGGTGGCGGCGAGGGTGACGCAGGGGGAGACGGCGATGCCGACGGCAAGGGCGGCGCTGATGGCGGCGATGGAGATGCGGGCGGCGAGGGCGGCGAGGGCGGCGCTGACGGCGGCGATGGAGATGCGGGCGGCGAGGGTGGCGCTGATGGCGGCGAGGGTGACGCAGGGGGAGACGGCGATGCCGGCGGCGAGGGTGGCGCTGACGGCGGCGATGGAGATGCGGGCGGCGAGGGCGGCGAGGGCGGCGCTGACGGCGGCGATGGAGATGCGGGCGGCGAGGGTGGCGAGGGCGGCGCTGATGGCGGCGATGGAGATGCGGGCGGCGAGGGCGGCGAGGGCGGCGCTGATGGCGGCGATGGAGATGCGGGCGGCGAGGGCGGCGAGGGCGGCGCTGATGGCGGCGATGGAGATGCGGGCGGCGAGGGTGGCGAAGGCGGCGCTGATGGCGGCGATGGAGATGCGGGCGGCGAGGGCGGCGCTGATGGCGGCGATGGAGATGCGGGCGGCGACGGTGGCGAGGGCGGCGCTGATGGCGGCGATGGAGATGCGGGCGGCGAGGGTGGCGCTGATGGCGGCGAGGGTGACGCAGGGGGAGACGGCGATGCCGACGGCAAGGGCGGCGCTGATGGCGGCGATGGAGATGCGGGCGGCGAGGGCGGCGAGGGCGGCGCTGACGGCGGCGATGGAGATGCGGGCGGCGAGGGTGGCGCTGATGGCGGCGAGGGTGACGCAGGGGGAGACGGGGATGCCGGCGGCGAGGGCGGCGCTGACGGCGGCGATGGAGATGCGGGCGGCGAGGGTGGCGAGGACGGCGCTGCTGGCGGCGATGGAGATGCGGGCGGCGAGGGTGGCGAGGGCGGCGTTGATGGCGGCGATGGAGATGCGGGCGGCGAGGGTGGCGAGGGCGGCGCTGATGGCGGCGATGGAGATGCCGGCGGCGAGGGTGGCGCTGATGGCGGCGATGGAGATGCGGGCGGCGAGGGCGGCGAGGGCGGCCCTGACGGCGGCGATGGAGATGCAGGCGGCGAGGGTGGCGCTAATGGCGGCGAGGGTGACGCAGGGGGAGACGGCGATGCCGGCGGCGAGGGTGGCGCTGGTGGCGTTGAGGGTGATGCAGGCGGAGTTGGCGATGCCGGCGGCGAGGGTGGCGCTGACGGCGGCGATGGAGATGCGGGCGGCGAGGGTGGCGCTGATGGCGCCGACGGTGTCGCAGGGGGTGTCGGCGATGCGGGCGGCGAGGGTGGCGCTGACGGCGGCGATGGAGATGCGGGCGGCGAGGGCGGCGAGGGCGGCGCTGCTGGCGGCGATGGAGATGCGGGCGGCGAGGGTGGCGAGGGCGGCGCTGACGGCGGCGATGGAGATGCGGGCGGCGAGGGCGGCGAGGGCGGCGCTGACGGTGGTGATGGAGAAGCGGGCGGCGAGGGCGGCGAGGGCGGCGCTGATGGCGGCGATGGAGATGCGGGCGGCGACGGTGGCGAGGGCGGCGCTGACGGCGGCGATGGAGATGCGGGCGGCGAGCCCGGAAGGGGCGGCGCTGTTG